GCTCTCGGATTCACACAAACACAAAGATAACATTATTCACAGACAGACTGCTAAACACAGCTCATTCCACATTGTGCTCTAATACCAGCAGCAGGCAGTGAACACGTCTCCCAAGATATTCTTTGCTTTGCATTAACTACCAGGAGCAGAGCTTTTTTCATTAGTTTTGCTGTGAGGGCATAGATTTACATATTTTCTGCTTTCTAGGTAGATCCAACGTGCAGCACCTGATGAGGAGCTGCACCGATGTCTTCATGCTACTCAGTAATATCATTGCACTGTACAAGTTCTTTGTCTTTACAGTTCTGCTTCTGTATTTCTGTCATTTTTCTGCCTGCTTACTCTCATTACTCTATGTGTATATATGTGTATAGAAACCAACACACAAGCAAAAGGACCCCCCCATCCATCTTTCTATTCATCTGACCAGCGCTTCACCCATCCAGCAGTGTTTAAATATTTACTAGAGCTAAAGGAAATGATGTTGCAAAACAGATGAGGGGAGAAAAGTGGGTGATTTAAACAAAACGAGGGGGAGAAGGAAGCACGGAGGGCAGACGCTGCAGTCTAGCACCCCCTGGAGGCTGAAGACGAATGTGACGATCAAGATGACTATCGGGGAGCGAGGGAGGGAGCCAGAGCTGAAACAGAGCTGAACGACTGTTTAGAAACATCCACAAGAGGGAAATACAGTCTTCAGGATTCATGCGACTGCCGTACATAATGTACAATCCATGTATTTGGATGGAGATGAAATACTGGAAGTAACGCAATCTAACACCCAGTATGAGCTACGTTTGGTAGTTTTTAAGAATGTACATCTATTAGAGGAGCGAATGTAAGTCAGCCTTTAACACAGATACAGTGATGCTAATTAGTGAGGAAAAAGGAGCAAAGCAGGAAAAGAAAGAAAGAAAACAGAGAATGAGAAAGTCGTCTGTGAAGTCTGGGAGTAAAGGCAGAGAGAGATCCAGAAGGACCTCACTGATCAGGGCCACAGCATTTTTTATTTACACACCCACAGACACACCAAAACATCTCTTATTTACCAGCTTACGTCTGCACTATTTATGGGGCGCTGGGGAGAGGCACAGAAGAGAGGAAGAGAGGAGAGGGGCTAAAATATGCATAGGGGCTGGTTCTTCTGGGACGGCGGCGGGGAGTCAGAGCGAGGGAGGAAGACGGGAAGGGAGAAAAGATTTGAGTATGTACGTGTCAGAGACAGAAGGATGTGAGCGATGGAGGAGCCAGAACTTTGTATGCAAAGAGAGAGACAGAGACGGAGAGAGGGGCTGAAGGAGTGCAGTCAGGAGGGAGAGAGGATGATGCAGCGGCGTGTCCGTGCTGCAATTACCCTTGGGGTGCAACTGCGTGTGCACGTGTGCGCAAACAGAGAGTGACATCATACGGCCCCTCGGAGGGGCTCAAAGAGGCCAAAGCCTTTGCTAGCCGGCCAACCAGCCTTCTTCATCCATCCGTACCTCATTAAAACGTGCACGCATACACACAAATTACATCTATTCCACTTCCTCTCAGTTCCACGCGCACACACACAGCTAGCAGTGGCATTAACCTCCATGGTTGTAGCTCTCCATCTCCCCCAGTCAGCCTTTCTGTCTAGCCCACTTAGAGAGACCTCCCATGGGGCAGTGGAGCTGTGGCAGGTCAGGCTCGGGCTTTTCACACACACTCGCACACACTTGGGTCAGGACCAAAGAGTAACAAGATGGATATAGCACCAGTGCAACAGCCAAAGAGGAGGAAGGAGCTGGGAAAAGCTCAGCGAAGGTGATGAAGCAGACACCTTCTGTGATCCATGTTGGAGCTCGATGTGAGGCGAAATGATGAGGCGAGATTAGAAAGGAAACGAGTCTGATGTGAACTAAAGACGGGCTGAAATAATCATTTTAAAAACGCGTTCTTCTTCTCGTAACACCATTAAATTATGAACAGGAAATGTTAAACACAAACACGTTCATGCGTCTGCCCGCGGCGCCGCCACACAACCAAACAACAGTCGTGTCAATTCATCACTCTGAAGATCCTGTGACCTGGTCAGACGGCAGGAGAGA